GGGATCAGGCACATTCATCTGGGAAAGCTTGTCTCGGAGATGGTCTGGAAGGATGGTGTTGAAGGCAGAGCTGAAGTCCACAAACAGGATCCTGGCGTAGGTTCCTGGGGAGTCCAGATGCATTTAAATGAACTGCAATTAACTTATTTTAACTGCAAATTTCTATGACAATTTAGTATATGGTTAAATTCTGTGATGCCATCTGTAGATGCTATATATATGTGTATAAATACCACCCCGAGAAAAATTCAAGTGCCCTTTCAACTCAGCTGCCGATTGATGTTTGCCGGCATTAAAAACGACCATGTGCTCGTGGGGGATGATTGAAAATAGTAGATGGTTTTTTTTTAGCGAAAGGGGTTTGAAAAGTTGCAAAATTAGGTGAAAGTTGCAAAGTTGCTCAAGTTGCCTGCATTGATGAGATGAACATGGGGTTAATTTAGAGAGGAGGGGAGAGCGAGGGTTCACAGAGAGTGAAAGCAAAAAGATGCAAACAGCGGGACAGCTTTTGTCAGCAACATCTCTATTAATATTTTAAAGACAACAGCAGCAATAAAGCAACAGCACACTCCTTTGACTGAATGTGGCAGTCCATGTCGAGGCAACTCTTTCATTTCTTGTATTTAAAAAAAGGTGAAAGCAATCCAGCATTTAAACTGACATCAGAGAAAGAAAGTATTCATGTAATTTTTAGAAACTCCACGTTAAACTACATGTGCAGTTACAAATTTCAAACTGAAGTTGTACATATGTAAAGTGTTAGCTAAAATACTGAACAAGTGTTCAACAAGCAATCTACTCTATATAAGGACACAAAAATATATAAAGAAGACAAACAAATGTATGAATGCATAGAAATATGTATATTAACAGAGGTGTAAATCTGAGTATGTAAAAAGTAGAATTAAATTGATCAAATTAATTACCTTTTTATATCCATGTTAACAGTATGTTTTAATGTGCAATATTTAATTTGGTATATGTTTTTTAAGCACATTTAGGTTTTACAAATGTGTTAGTGTTGTGTATTCTTTGCAGCATATCCTCTGGTTTTGTGTAGTGAAAAAAAAATACTCTCATTACTCATTTGCTTGTGTGCTAAGTAAAACTTCAGGCTGTACTAGACCTGATGGGAGAATTTGCACACTTTTATGCTTTCCACCAGCACAACAAGAGCACGAGTGTGATATTGCTGTTCAACAAAGTGTGTATCTGTTGCACCAGTGGACTGAAAATTGTGTTTGCTGGGATCAGGACTCACAATTTAATATCAGTGATGGAGTTGTTTGTTTTTTGTCAGAGCCTCCACTGTCTGACAGCAGCTACGCAGATCCCTGGAGCAGCAGGGAGCTCTCTGATGTTGACCTGAATTAGCTAACATTTACACAACTGCTTATCGATATGAACAAATCAATCTGAATTCTTAGTGACCTGCTTTGAAACTCCCTGTGATAATACTAGATTAGATAGTTGCCATTGGTGCTGGATAGTAAATCAGGGGATCATCAGAGGCACTCAGGTTTCATGCTAAAATACTTAAACATATTGCTATAAACCTTATTAAAATGGTCATTTCTGCTGGAATTCAAGTTTCAAAAAGTTTGACAATTGCTTGGGTGGCTGAAGCTAAGGTGGCAGAGCAGGTCACCTACAAACTGGTTGGTGGTTCGATCCCTGTCTGCTCCAGTCTGCATGGCAAATATCTGTGGGCAAGATAATAACCCCAAGTTGCTCTCTGATGCATCCATCTGAGTATGAATGTGTGTGAATGTTAGATAGAAGAGCGTAGAGAAAAGTGCTTGTGCGAATGGATGTATGAGGCAAGTTGTGTAAAGCGCTTTGATTGCTCAGATAGAGTAGAAAGGCACTATAAAGGAACTTGTTCATTTACCATTGGTGAAATTCGTCACACTGCATACCTAATGCAGTATAATAGATATTCCTCTCCATCATATTAATGCTCTAATATAGACTTTTGTGGTGCAGTTTGTTGGAAGTCCTTCTCTCCATCTTCTATACTTGTCTGCAGCAGCAAAATATACCTTATCAAGGCTAAAGTTGGATTTATTATGGTAACCTGGCCAGAGGTGGTTGGATGTCTTCATTATTATTATCATCATTATCATTTTATCATTTATGGTGTTTTATGGCGTTCCTTGTTTTCCCTTTTTAAACATTTGAAACATTTAAAAAATACAGTAAATACTGGGTACAATGTGATCTTTTTGACAATCATATTAATTCCCTCTAAAATTATGAGATTATTGTTTTTACCAAATGTAGCAATTCTGAGATATAGTTGGACATTTTTACTTTACATTTAGACTGTTATTTTCCATCCTTCATCTGACTGTAAGACACAGTAGGAGCTGTGCTGTTCCTGTGTCTCACCTTTACTTCTCCCTGCAGCCTAAAAATGCTTTTGTAAAAGAAATGGATGCAAAGCAGAGAACTGATCATGGGATTGTTCCAAAACACACTGTGATACATCTGGTAGAAACACAGATGGGTGGGTGTGATGAGCTCTGGCGCCTCAATGGAGTCAGATTTCTATCTAAAAGCAAAGGGACTAAACACTACAGTTTTAAAATAATGGACCACAACTAAGATGCAACAAGTGTAATTTTTTTCCCCTTTGCACAGATCAAACGAGCCTCAGCTTGTACACAAACTAACGCAACAGCACCTGACATACAGTGAAAGACAAAACAGGGAGAATGGATAAACTGTCTGCTTTTCAGCAAAGATATAAGTGCTTAGTTTGTAACAGTGCAGGAGGATGTCTCCTCTTCTCTCCTTTTGGTTATTCTTTAGGAGTTTGGCGA